ATGATTGTATGCAAATTAGCAATTATCTCGGCTTCTTTTTAGTGCACATCCCAGAACTTTAACAAAAAATAGCTCCTAGACGCTTTGACCTTTTGTTTTGAAATTTTCACAAATGATTGACAATGTGTTTATCTTCAAAACGCCGTTGGGGCATTGTTTTTTGTTGAATAGTGTTACAACAATCGTACAGACAACTAGCCTGGGTGTTAATTTATGCATAAACTTGAAATAGTGAAATTTGAGTTGCTGCCCTACAAAATTGACAACTGGTAGACAGTTTTCAAGACGGCACTTTCTTCATAGTAAACAGATATACCCATAAACCAATTTTGACAGGAAACAAGCATGGTTTAGAAGCTATTTTTTTTAAATCGCTTTTGACCAAAAAAAGCACATTTTTGTGCATATTTCAAACTACAGTGTCCATAAAAAAAAATACTAAACAATTTTTAAAATTCATTCAATAAGCTTTTCGACATTATAGTTTTGTAGACGAGGGGGGTCATCTTGGTTTTCTAATTAACTAATTAAAATACCTGTCAGGTAAACTGCATCTCTACCTTAACATGTCAAAAACAAATTTAAGGTAGCGAGAAGGGAAATTTTCACTTTTTTCTTGATTTTTCAAAAATTGATAAAACGTTCACTTTAGACCTTGATACATCATCCCAGGTTTACAAAAGATCGAAATTGCGAAATAACGTCGCTCAAATCAGTGTTTTAAAACACTAGCAGAAAAGACTACAACTGCTGTTTCGTAGATATTGGCATATTGTTTATCTTTGGAAGGGTTTAAATGATAACATCTTATCTGTATACTCTGTTGTTGACGATTCTGATATAACGGGTGATAAGGTTCCAGTCGCAAACAATGCGTGTTTATCTAACGTTCATTGTCAGCATTATTGTCAGTCGAGACTTCGTCGGAGAAACATGGTCATACAGTACCCATTTCGCCCAACCTTCCGCTTTTACATCGACCGCTTAACGCTTAATTTCCGACCATGCTGTCTTGTCCGACCGGAAACCGACCGCATTTTAATCGCGTTTTTTTTTTGGGGGGGGGGGGCTCGCTTGCTCATTGAAAACACTGATCGCTCGACCAAACACTGATCACTGGCACAGGAGTGGTCGAAATGGTGGTTTTGTGTGAACAAACAACTAGTAACTAGTATTAACTATTATTAAATTCTGAGCGGCACTTCAAATCTAATAGTTGTATGACACTTGTATCGTGAATGAAACAGTTACGTGAAAAAAACATAGGTAACTCATTTTGACAGAGCATAAAAACGAGAAAATGTTAATGATTAATCCCAAAAATAACGATACCGAATCCACGTCGGTCCATGTCTGGTAAAATTTGACATTCAATTTTTAAAATTAAGTCACGGTCATTGAATGACTTCGGTCTAAACCGTATACGTATACGTAAAATTGTTCCCACAAAAATATTTTCAACTAAAAACGGCCACATGCCCTGAAAAATTCGAACAGAGCTTGACATGTATGAATAATTTATTGGGCTTAAAAATTTAGTTGTCGATGAACAATTTCAAACTCAAGATTCACACAGCTGCGAAAGTAGAACATTCCGGAGGCGGTGAAACGGAAGAGCCAAACTTAACGCATAAAAATAGAACGCGTATTTTGACCTCTGTGTGGCCAACCAATGGCTGATCACAATTACGTTTGCGGTCGTTGCCAAAGAACCCCGCGTCTATCGCCTGGCGATGTTCTTCACTCCCCCCGGAATGTTCTGCTTTCGCAGCCTAATCGCAGGTTTTTCGAAAAACGTCGAAAAAACACAAGAATTAGTATAAATGTTCCTATTTTGGGCGGATTATTGATAGAAAATAATGTCTTTATTACAAAAATGCCGCGAGTTTTTGCCTTAGTTATTTTTTATCGGCGAAAAACTGCGAACTCGGCAAATTCGGTTGCATAACTTCCCTCTATTCACAGTGGAGGGACTGTGCTCTATCGTATACACCCAGCGACACCGATGCCAGCTGACTGTGGGAGAAACCAACTGGGATCGACATTCCAAACAAATTATTGGGACACGGTGTACAGACATTCCAAACAATCGAAATTATCAACGAAAGACGAGGTTTTATTTTAGGCTTAGAAATATTTTCTTTCCGTCAGCCCATGCATGGAACTGCCATTTAGCTTCATAGTCCTCCAGCTTGTCTTCGCCTCGGAACACATCGCGAAGACTCAATCAACCATGTCGTACTTGTGTTGAAATACATTTTGTATTTCACGTCAGAATATTGTTTAAAATAAAATATTCAGTCCAAGCCAAATCGAGGCCAAAGGGTCAGGTTGCGTGCATATAATTATAGATAGTTAAAACAAAAAGTATTTGAACTTTTGTCAGCTGTTCAACATCTATAAAAACCATAAAGACAATTATAAGACAATGTGAACCTCGGAAATGTTTGTTAGTCCGAATTTTAAATGCGTGCGTGCGAGCGAGCGGTGATTTTTTCGGGGTTTGCGCGGTCGAAAATAAAGCGGAAATTGTCAAATTCAACAAGCGGTCAAAAAAGCGAGAAAAAAGGTGATTGGAAAGCGGGAGCGGGCGGGAGGTAGTGCGAAATGAGTACTGTAAATTTGCGCAACTTTCGTTTAAATCGTTTTATTTTCCAAGTCAATATTCTATTTTACTAATACCATGTTTTCTAACGCATTGGCGAAGAAAAAGAAAGCGTTGACAGATGAGGCAAAGAAAAATCTGCCACTCAGTGTCGCACTCTGACACAGCAATTTTTTTTTCAAACATCGGCCATTTTGTTTCACCATGAAAACTGTTTTATTAGATCACTTATCAGAGACACTTGAAGGATTAGCTTGTTTGTAAACTGTCAGCGTGTACAGTGGGACAGTAATGTTCGTCAGAGGATTATCCCTCGTTGTTCGTTTGCATAACAATGG